AAAATGCCTTGTTGCCTTAGCAATACAATCTGCACATCTCAACAAGGTCATTTTCCTTATTCTCTACATCAAGTTACCAATATATCAGTTTCTACCATAAGGATTGAACCAGCCTGTCTGGCGAGGGACCAGCATTGGGAGGTTTCATGGGAGTCCCTTTTTTCTCTGAGGACTTGGGTGACAGGCATTCCCTGTGACCATCCCCTACTTTGGAACTGACTACACTTGAAGTCTGTAAAGCTCCTTGCTCTTCAGTTTTTAGAAGAGCTTTTAAAGACATCTTTATTTCACTAGGCCTCTAACCCTTGATAAGATTTATTGGTGTCTTTCTTGGGGGTAATGTTTATTTTTAGCGTGGGCTTTTTAAAGGTAATTTTGATGTATTTTATTGTTGCATTTATTAACCTTTTGTAGTCCACCAAGATTCTTTTGAGTTGATCAAACCTTAAATCCTATAAAATAAGGGAAGGAGGGAGGGGGCTACATAGATTCAAGCAATATTTTCCTTCTAAGATTCTAAAAAATCAATATATCCCCAATATTTGGTGTGGAAACATTTGTAATAATTGCCTTCCTATGAACCTGCCAAACTAATCAATCTCTTCACTGATAATGAAAGAGCTTAAAATGGGTTGTTTATGCAGCAGAGTCCTGAACCTTGAATGGTTTGGGACAATTATACTCTCAACCAGTCTAGGGCAGACCTTTTAAAAGGACAAAAAAGAGTTGGGACAATCATGCAAACATGGCAAACTCTGCTTTAATTCCCATATACAACTTTCACTGGAGCCATATAAGAACCCAGAATAAAGAAAGAGGTGGTACTCTTGGTTGTGCCTCTTGTATGGACTATCTTGCAGGCTTAACATCAGTAAGCATCAATAGGCTTTTGAGAAAATATTATGGGTACTCTCACCAAGTAACCGTCATGTAACTACATCCCAGATAGCATTTGTTAATGGTTTCATTATGGTTGAGGGAAGCATTCAAGTGGTGTTCAGTGGCAATTCATATTGACTGAATTGCAATAAATCGTACACTAGATTATCTAGACATAAGTGATTGTAACAAAATGACTGTTAGTTTAGGAAAGTATTAGCAAATGAAATATGTGAGAAGGCTTCCCTGGCCATAGCTGCTATCTTTTCTTCTAGCAAGAGCTGTGAGTTGAGGAAGATAATGGCTCACCAGTTTTAAAAGGGAAAGCATGAGCATCTCTGGCACTATAAAAAACTATGAAGTCATAGCCACTTGGTCTTTTCAGGTTTTAATTTAAATTTGTTCTTCCTCCTTCAGATATCAACAGACTCTAGTCACAGCATACTGATGATATCTGACCCAGTGTTGACTGATGACCATACGGATATTAAACAGAAACAAAGAGACTGTCAAGCCCTGAGGCACCTCTAAAACCACAGGGTTTAAACTGGACTTCTCCATGACAACTGTGGCAGGAATGATATGTAGAAAAGGAAAGAGATACACCACAACATTGAGCCACCAAACTCATGGCTGACCCATAAAACAATCATGACAAACTATCAAAAGTCACCAAGAGATGAAGAAGAAAAAAGATAGTCACACCACCCCCAGTGCAGCTTTGCTGTGTCATCAAGTGATTATCAAACATCACCCAGCTCCAGAGGGAGTGTACTTCCTTCTCATTTAAAATAGGCAGAACCACCCCTCTTTCTAGGATGAATTTGCTCATGACTCTAATTACCTACAAAGGGGGGGTATCTTGCAAGGCCTTTACCAACTAGGAGAGACAAAGATCCCATAAACAAGTGACCAGAATCTGTAAGTATGTCCCTTTCAGTTAGTTTTGGATTCCTGATAAATGACTGGACAAGTCTCTGCAGTTTTCTTGACAAGGTATTTCAGAAGTGGTTTGATTTCCCTTTTTCTACGGTTGAGAATGACTAGCCCAAGGTCACCCAGTTGGTTTTGTGCCTAAGGCAGGACTAGAACTCACCGTTATCCCTGTTTCTAGCCTGGTATCTTAACCACTACACCAGACTGGCTCCCCAGGAACATCCTATCCACTTCTTAAAGAGTCACAAAATGAAACATAAGGTAACAGGATTAAACTATTCTTGGCCAGTTTGACAGCATCTGTCCAGTCAAGGTCTGCATTAGGGTGGATCTGAGCAACTTTATATACCAGGCTCCCAGGATATTTCTAACAGTAGCTGTAGATATTCTTGTGATGCCTCCCACCCCAAGAAGAAACAGGCCACTTTAAGCAGGACCTCCAATTGGCTAACTGCAAATGCAAGAATAATTGCATTTGCAGGTAGCCAATTGGAAGTCCTGTGCTAATACTGCCTTAGGCACAATAATTGCTGTTGCCAAGTATAACCCCTAATATCAGTTCATGCACATGCTCAGTTGAGTTTGCACTTCACTTTTTTCAAGCAATGCTCTAGGAATCATTTCCCAAATCTTCTAAAACAAACAAACAAACCCAGAGAGCTCCCAAAGATTGATAAATTAAAAATAATCCAAGTCAAGACTCTCATCATACAGCCATTCCAGGCAGAGACTAAGGCTTCAGGTGACCTGCCTAGCTGAACTGCCAAACAAATCACTGGGAAAAAATCTCAAGTTCCCCCTGATATTCTTCCAGGTCCATTACCCACCTGGAGTGGACCGATGGGATTGGTCCTACCTCCATAAAGGGGTGGGCAGAGGGAACAGAGCACACCCAGCAAGGTGAAAGGACTGAAGGTAATATTCTATACCTTCAGATCAAGTCACTCTGTCTTGAAATAAAAAAAACAGGTCTAGAGTATGATCACTTGTGAATGTTGGCCCTTAATAACTTGATCAGGTCAATGGTTGCTATTGCAGTATTGAATGCCAACCTTATCTTAAACATCTAACTATGCATATGCAGTCCATAGACCTCCTTTCTCTGGTATATATCAACAGTGTCCTGTGGGTTAATAGCTAAAAAGAATCTCTGACTGAGAAATAAAGAATTCTAACAGTTAGAAATAACAAAATATCTTCTAGATATATTTGAGAGGCCCTTAGGCAGAATATTGAGGAGTTACTACTATCTGATTAAAGTTCTAACTCAAACTCAATTTCAAAACATCTCAAAATTGCTGGATTTTAAAATGTAGATATGCTACATATTTTGCACTGAAGCCACCTTCTAGAGCAGTAAATACATCTTTTAAACTTTTTTCATAGAATGTGTTAAGAACTAAGTAATTCAAGCATTCTTGCAAAACTTGGCAACACGTAGTTTGCTTCAACTTTCATTCTGATTCACAATACTTATTTTCCTGCGCAATCTAGCAGTCAGCTATGGCAATGTGTGCATGTGCAAATATGTGGGAGGCAAACTCTGAATTCTAAATTCAATGAGATCTGCTGCTAAATAAATGTCTTGAAGAAATTTAGTAACAAGAACAAACAGGGTTGCACCCTGTAAAGAAAACAGCTGGGTTCTCCCCAGAGCAGGATGAGACTGAATGGATCTTTTCAGTGTGCTTTGAAATAAGAATAATCTTGCTTGTTAGTATTTATTCCCTCTATTTATAACCTTGTATCTTAATATAAGGAGAACTTTAGACATGTGTTTAGGATTGCCTTGTCAATTTTGCCCAAGTGTAGGTGCAAAATGATGATGATGATGATGGGGAGTGATGGGGTAGCCTCACTTCTAGGCTTTGAATTCAGCCAAAGCATATAATTCTACAACATGCTTTTCTCGAGAACAAGAGATGCGATAAAACAGATCAGAGGAGGGAACGGATTGATTTCTGGCGTCGTCATGAATTGCCAATGGACACCAGCGTGCGCTTTCCATCAAGGACCAGACTAGTTCATTGAACGTGGGCGGGAAAAACCGTCCCCAGCAAGCCCCGAGGCCGTCAAAATTATCGGAAGGCCCCCGATGACATTCCGAGCGTTCTCCCAAAGGACCGGCACTCGAGAGATCACGTGCGGTGGCCCCTCGCCTCTAGGACCGAGACCGCCCGGGCTGACTTCCGACGTTCCGCCGCGTCGCGCGATTGACTGCCCTTGGCATTGCGTGTTTTTCGCCCTCCTCCTCCCCTCCTATTGGTGCGAACGCCGAGTAGCGCAAGCCAACCGGTTCGCTTCGCTTCTAACTGGTCCTAGTGTCTCTCGTGTCCCTGCGCTTACTGGAAAGGCGGGCCTGGCGCTACGCAAGACACTCGGCTGCGCCGCCTCCGTTTCGTGCGCTGTTTTCTTTCCCACTCCCCCCCCCCACACACATACACCTTCCCTCCCTTTAGGAACGACTTAAATAGGAGCGCCGGGCGCTCCAGCCGCACACCGCTCGGACTGCAAATAGTGGTGGCTGCCCGCTGACTTGCGCCCAGGGGAGCGTGCCCGGGAGGAGACAGGACGAAGAGGAAAGCAGGTGGGTGAGCCAGCCAGACTGTCATGCAGCAAGCGGGGAGCTGCCCCCTCCCCACGACTTCTGGAGGACAGCGGGGATTTTCCCGCTTCTTCACTAGCTGATGCCGCCTTGGCTGCCCGGGAGGACCCTAATCTTTTCTCCATTCTTCCGACCAGCCTAACCTGCCCGGCCGGCGCCGCAGTTGCACCGCTGCCTCTGGCTGCGCCCGGAAAAGGGGGCGGGGAGCCGGGCGAGGGAAGGAAAGGAGCCGCGCGTCAGGGAGCCGGGGGGCATAAAGGTGGGGCCTCCCACTTCTCTAGGCCGCTTGGAGAGGCGCTTTCTCTCCCTGGCCCCTCGGATCAGGCAAGGACTGCAATAGGATCTTTTCTAGGTCGGTATTGGCTGGATGCAGCCTATCAGCACGGGCAGGAAATGGGTTATTTTGCGGCGATGGTTTCCTTTCCTTTGAGCCCCCCTTTTGGGGTGGGGGGTGGGGGTTTATCTGGGACTATTGGATTTCGAGGAGATAATAAAGGCATAAATGTTTGCAACGTGGAGGTGGAAGTGGTTTGGCTTTTGTTCTGTTGAACGCACCTATGCTGCACTGGGACCTTGGATTACAGGAGAGTTGTTAGATGGGATCCGGGTGCCTTTCCTCCACCACATTTGGAAGATGCCTCGGTCTTTCACTCAAAAACTTGATACTTAGACCTGTGGGAAGGACTGAGTCAAATGCTGTCACCCCTTCTATAAATTCGTTCCATCTGAATTTGTCAAGGGATATTTGCTCTGGCTGGCTTAAATCACATCAGTTTGATGGAGCAGTCCTGCAGTGACAAGGTAATTTGCAGTTATGGCATTTTGCCTATGAACTCTTAGGCAAGACATCCACTATGTCTTGTAATGCCTCTCTATTTCCCACTGCTTTTTCCATCCCATTTGAAACTTCTGGAAATATCTGCTTTTAAGAGTTTCAATTAAAATGTTGAGTTTTCTTTGTCTATATATTTCCAGAGATTAAATTGTTCCAGAAATGATAATATTCTGTGGAGCAGATTGCAGAATCTTTTGTTCTTGTTGTTTCTGCTGCTGCTAATGTGGCTATAATTAACCAAGCCTGTTGCTTCTTCTGCAGCTATCAACATTGGGATTTTCTTCTTCAAGAGAAAAGGCTGGGTTTTTTATTCCATCGCTCAAAATATCACCGTATTGGATACTACTATTCAGGAACAGCCAGATCACATTTAACATTTATTAATGATGTCTGGTCTTGGCTATTTTAGTTTGATGGCCAGATTCTAGTCATGGGGTTAAAAAAAGAGAAAGCTCCTCTTCTGGATTAGTAGCTGGACAAAGAAGAGGAAACAAGGAGTAGAAATACATGATGAATTCTCTCAGTGGCAGATTAAATCAACAACATCTCTATGTGCTTGTATTAGTGCTTCATAAAACAAAAGGTAGCTCCAAATTCTGAGATCAGGGATTCAGATTACAAACAATATAAGGTTCAGTTTAATGAAGCATAGACAAATGCACACTGGGTCAAAATTGGTGACGAGCATCCAGAAAAAAGATCTTAAGTTTGTGGTTGAGCACTATACAGTGTGCAGTTGCTGTGGATGAAAATGCTACAGATAAAAATGCATAAGTCTGTAAAGGATATAAGGGTTGATGAAACATGTGTTATGACCTCTTTATACCAAAACAGGATTTAAACATTTGCTTTAAACATAAGATGCAAGTATGTAAAGACAGAGTTTTTGTTATTGTATGTGTGTGTCATCATTTTGATGGAGTCTTGGTTGCTGAAGATGTTTGTGCTTCTGCATGGGATATCATTAAAAAAGAATATAAATAAATTTGCCAGTATCTTTATTGTTGCTATAATCATACCCTGTGTGTGGGGAGAGAGAGAAAGGGAGAGGAGAGAGCGCCTATCAAAAGTGCAGAAGGCAACCACATTTCATCTAGGAATTTAAAAAGACTGAATAGAGACAGGATTGTGATGGGCATAATTATGCATGGAGTGAAAGGGTTTTTTGTAATATTGAAACCCATAATCCTCCAATGTTGAGAGATTGAAAGGAAATACTTTTCATGCAGCTACATTTGATTTATGGAATTTGCTATCCCAAAGTATAGTGACAGTCACCCACATTTTAACCTGTCTTTATTCTTGGAGAAAACTGCTATCAAACTTTATTAACAATAGGTACTATACATTAACTCTAGTTTTGGATAAAGAATGTAATAATACACCATATAAAGCTCTAATGCCTGGTTCGAAGTTGTCTTTACAGGCAAGTCTATTTGGTGATATTAATGGCCTTTTTGTGGTTTCCAATATACCAATTTCTCAAGGTTTTGACACTAATGCTCTGAAACTCATGTTTGTTTGCCTTTAATGAAGTGCTGCTTAAATACTGGCTTCTGAGAACAGAATTTGTGGCCTAATTATTTGCTGTTCTGAAGCAATGCGGAGCCAGCAATTAATTGTGATGTTTGCTCAACCACTTAAATCTCTTTATTAAGGTGCAACACGTTAGACTTAGTATTACATTTGAAACTGTGATAACAAATCTGGGTCGGATCTAAGTTATGAATCTGTAGAAAGGTGAAACAACGTAAATTATACTTCGTTTTTGAAGTTTAGGTACTGTCAATCCTGCCTCAAAGAAATAAAACTTGCTTTCATGAAGGCAAAATCTTAGAGGGAAAAGCTTGTTTACAGTTATCGATTTTATAGTTATGTGGTATTTATAAAATCATAGTATATGAAGGGGCAGTTAAACCATTAGTCTATCCAAGTCTAAATAAAGCATTTATGACATCCATCCTCTGCTTAAATACATCCAGAAGATAAGAACTTGTCATCTGTATGGATTCAGCTGTCCAATCATCAAATTATTTCTACTGTTTGGAAGTTTTCAAAAGGTTCAACAAGAATCTGTCTTCTGTATTGTATGGATCCAGAAGAGAAATCCATACATACAGTAAGTTCTCTGATTGCAGCTATAGCAATATTTTATTTCGCAAATGCATCATAATGCTCTAGATACTATTTTAATAATTATTTTCAATTACAAAGGAATACAAATGTGGAAAGTGTTCCATTAATTTCTTTTAACCTTGTAGACCGCCCCCTGATTAAAATATGGTTAATGTTTCTTAGAAACTACAGAAAAGTACCCAGGCTGTTGTTTATTGATTAGTAAGTGGATTAATGTTTGTCTAATTCAATCAGCAACATAACTATAATAATGCTCAGTTGAAAGTATTTTAAAAGAAACAAAAAGCAGACGTTTCTGTTTAAAATTTATTTGAAAACCTAAGTAGGGCTTCATAAAATTTTTGCTGGCGTTGGTGATGTAAAATTTTGCTTAAGTGTGTGTTACCAACATACCCAAAATAACCTATAAAGTGATTTTGGGTTTTCTGAATGGCTTTCTTTTAGAGGTTTCAGGAGTTTAAAATATGATGCCAACTAGTTTATGCAGCAGTGTGTCTTTTAACTCTAAAATTCAGCTCAGTGCCTCATCAGGAAGTTACATAGACAACTGATCACATGGAGGGCATATTTTATATTTCCTATATTTAACAAGAGGAACTAATGGTAAGCTCTGATGTGTGCCTCTACCCAGCCACTAAAATTTTTGTGCAGTATCACAATTTTTTTAAATGTTTCTAGACTCATTCCTGCTTGATACTATAAGTGGGAAGGGGCAGGGAGGTGTTTCTATTACTATTGCTAACTGATAGTATATCAATGAATTTAAACAATTTAAGTAGTCACCAACCCATAGCAATATTTAACTCCACAATTAACTCCATACTTTAATTTTATTAAGGCAACCAAGACAAAGTAACTTTAGCCACATTAAAAAAAATCCTCACACTGGGGCAACAGCAAAAATGCCTCTGCTAATCAAACAGAAGATGGCCAATGTCCATGAGATCTCCAAACTGAGGGACAGAAGAACCTGGTAGGTTGTTTTTCCCCATGTTGGCACATCACCTTTGATCGACTTGGCAGTAGTTTTAAAATAACATTTGATAGATTTCCTTGTCTATGTCTCCTTTTGAGTTATTAAGCAAAACTGGACATGCCCCAGAATTGGGCTGTTAAGTAATTGTCTTGCTGTATGCCATTTAAGAATAATGGGAAAGTGTCCTCTTTCAGCTGACACTTCCTTAAATTAGTTTGATGTCTGTCAACTCTTCCACAAAACTTAAGATAGATTTTTCAGATTAACCTCTCCACTAGTTTAAAAATGGGGAAAGAACTGCAGAGGAATTAATGCAATGCTGTGTATTAATTTGAATGGCACATCTTTCACCCCAGTCTAAAAGTAATGAATGAATAGTGTGGTTGCTAAAAGCGTCATACTTAGCATGGGGTGGAGCTGATTTCTAGAACAATGATCCTGATTAAGCAAGTCACTATAGATTTCACTCTTCCTCCCCCCTTCAACTTAATCAGCAGAGCTAGAAGGAGAAAAGCCATTGGCTCCTCTGGGGTAACACTATACTGAAGAAGTTGGCAGTTGCCCTCGAATGATGTCTGCCTACTGGCAGACAATAGAAGAGCATTCTGCTCTCTGTAAATAGATGATTGTACTTGGCAAAAGGAGGAGGAGGAGCTTGGAATGAGTACATGGAGTCAACTTGGATGAGGTTTGCTAAGCTGAGCGCAGCTGAAAAGACCACATCTTGGCTGATTCAGTATTTTACTTAGGCGTGTGTCAAGGAGCTTTTTTTTTTGGCTGGAAGCATGGTATTCATTTGACTAGCTGAGTAAGATACACGAGACAGGGTCAGAGCTCCCTGTACATAGCTCTTTCACCGACAGGTTTCTAAAGCTAAAAGTTTGAGTAAATGGATAATGATCCATTTAGTTGTTGAATTAAAGTTATAGCTATGAATGTATAATCAAAAAGTTTGTCTCACCCTGAATTTAGGTATTTACTGCTTGGACAACAGTATTAGAAGGAATTGACCTGGTTCACATATAATGCTAAGGCGTAATATACTTTTTATTTTGGCTTAGACACATGAATCCACATCTCTGTTGTGGAATCTTAAGAGGTTGAAAATAAAAACACTGCATAATAGTCCCTTTAGAACAGCCATATAGCTCAATACCTAATGTGTGCTTTTCTTATGTATGTAAGACGTGTATAAGAGAAGTGTTTGTGTGTTTGAAGTTTATCTTAAAAGAGGAGGTTAGATTAGATTAGATTACCCAGTTTTTCATAGCCTATTACCCACTGGATTTTTGGGATCCTGGCTGTGCTGGCTGGATACTCTGGAAAAAGAAGTTTGACTATTGGATTATAGAAAAATTAAGAGCCATATCTATTCAAATTAAAACCTGATGTTCTTTAAAGTATTCCTGTTGCATAACATTTAGGGTTTTTAAAATTCTTTTCTTACCAATCTAATGGCCTTGCCTGCAGAAATACGTGTAAGGTACAACTTTTTAAGACTGAATAAATTGACTGAGCAAAATCTTATCTTTCATTGTCACATTTTTAAAGTGGTTCACAGGCAACTTGATGCTTTAATGTATGGAAATATGTGTTGAAACAGTAAATAGTAGCATTAGTGCAAATAGGATTTTGTTACATTGAGGAACATAGAAATTACTCAAAAAACACATTGCAGTGGAGTTTAATCTAACTGACCTAGCAAAAATGGTGTAACTTGGGAACAATTCAGCTTGAAGCTAAGGAGAAAGATATTTTATTCAGAATATTAAAGACACAGGGAAATGGACAGAATTCAAATTTACATGTTGTATTACTAATCATTAGTAGCTGGAAGCAAGACTTACAAAAGTTGAAACAAGGGCATAGTTATGCACCCTATTGACTAAAGATTCACTTTAGCCCCAAATCTGACAGAACTAAAATTAATCGATAAATACAATTCTTCCTGTAAATACACACACACACACACACACACACACACACACACACACTCAAGCCTATGGGATAAGATCAGGCAATGGTGATTCTTAAAGGATTCGTGATAAAGAATTACAGTCTATAGTAAGTACTATATTCTATAGTACAGTACTATAGAATATAGTAAACTTTTGCTTAGTTTACAATTGGAACACAGCTGTGAACACTGTAAGGCAACATTGTACCTAAATCAACTCTCAACAAATTTTTAGAAGCATTTACATAACAATGGTTCAATATTATACCATCAGAGCTGGAGAGAAAATTTCATAAAACTATATTTGGAAAGGCTTTGCTCTTGCATTAATGGTAATACTGAAACACAAACTGGTCGTTATATTCTAATTGCTTATTGAGACATCTGCAAGGAGTTCCTGACACTTATTGTAATTTCAATTCTGGAATGGACTCAAAAAATTTAAATACAATTTCTACTAGCAGACCCAAAGAGGACTCTTGCCACTGCACTGCATAGCTTATAAAACCTGTCTATTGCTGATAACTAAATAGTGGGAGGAGAATTGCAGCTCTTCTATCTGGTGTGCTTTATTTTAGTCTGTATGGCATATTGTGTAGGTTTTTATTTAATATGATTCATTCTGTCTGAGTTGCTGACCTGAAATAAAGAATTGGTAATGATTTGGTAATCATTGACATATATACCATGCTTCTGAATGATCAAAGCATCGCATTTTGTAATCTTTACCAACAATTCCAAAGCAGATCAGTTTAATCCTTGTATTGCAGAGGATAAAGATCCCAGATTGATGAGAAGATTCTGAAAGGTTGTTCCAGAAGAACTGAGTAAATTCTAGTTGCAATTACTCTCATGAGTGAATATGGTGACATAGCGTAGGTGTGCTCCTCAGCTTAATCTCAGGACCCTGTCCAGAGAGAGAAATGCTGAAAGATTTCAGAGTCTGTTAGCATGTAGGTAACTCTGAAAAATAGATAGTTGTTAGGCTTTGTACCCTTGTTTTCATAACATCTACATCTGATCTTTCCAAGAATAAGATGTTGATGGACAGTTAAGAATGTTGCTGCCAGTTGTGTGTTTCTGAGATGAACATTGCTTTTTTGCATGCCACGTTCCGTGGTGTGTGCAGTGGGATGGCTTCAGACTCTTGTTTCCATTGGCCCACCTTGTCTCAAAGCTAAGTATGCATTTTGTCTGCTGGTAAACTTTGGCCTAGTGGGCAAAAAATGTAAGGGTGAGCATGTGACTGATGTTCTGAGAGACCTTGGCAGCAGAGTGAAACATAAGCTGAACAGACACACCAGGACTTTAAAAAGAATTTTAAAAAATCTTTGCTCTTTTTTTTCTCCTTGTCCCAGTTGGAGATTTAAAGAGACAAGTAGAAGAAAATTCCTTCAGTGTTCCTTTGCCAGGGTGTCAAGTGATATACAAAAATTTTATATATTGGATTTCAGGCCAATTATCAGTGGACTCCTTTAAGCTCATGGTTTAAAGAAAATGCATTGCAGCTTTTAAGGAGCTTGAGAGAAAGTTTTTTAGAGAGTAACTTTTTTTTACCAAAAACTGGAAGTAAAAGCTGCTTTTTGACAAAAAAAGCCCGTAAATCATAGTCATGTGACCATAGGACATTGAAAATAGATGTAAATGTGTACTGGTTATTATGTGCCTCAAACGTGACCACATGACTTTGGGGGGGAGGGTTCTTGGAACTTTGAAACTGGATTGTAAGTAGTTCTGGGGAGGTCCATTGTAACTTCAAATGGGCGCTAAGTGACTGGTCATAAGTCAGGGATTACCTGTAGATGTTTCTAACTTGGTTTATTGTTGGAAGATACATCCTTCCCTCAGAGAAGAGGAAGGCTTCATTTATTCCATATGGGATTGGGCTCACGTCACCTCTTTTTTTGTCAACAGATTGCAGTAGATATAGATCGCAGCAGACTGAATAAATGCAGCCTATCACAATGCAAGCCCATGAATTGTTTCGGCATCTGCGAATGCCAGAACTCGACGATGTAAGGCAGTATGTACGTACTCTTCCGACAAACACACTGATGGGGTTTGGTGCTTTTGCAGCCCTGACAACTTACTGGTATGCCACAAGACCTAAAGCACTGAAACCGCCATGTGACTTAGCGATGCAATCTGTAGAAATAGAGGTAAGCAGTCATGCATTTCTATTTCTTTGATTACTTATTTCATAAAAAAGTCTGCCATGGTAATTTTAGTTAGTCTTTACAAAAAAGAGCTTTAGGTTAAGGTTTTAAGATAAATCAATATATTTACATAAAATGTTTTGAAAATGATTTAAAAGGGCAATTCAAGATCTATACAATACATCAGTATTTTTCAATCTCAGCATTTTTAAAGAAGCAGCATGGCTGGCTGGGGAATTCTAGGAGTTGAAGTATACACTTCTTAAAGGGCTCTGACACTGGGAAACATTGTTTTGGATCTTGTGCTTAGTGCAAGCAGCAGAACCTGAATCTTCTCAGCTAACTAACATACTACCGTGTAAAATATTGTTGAATATGGACAGTAGAGTTTGTAGAAGGACAGGCTTAACTGTGGGACAACACCGATTCAAAGCATCTCTCGTTTGAAGTTTAAACAATGTAGTCCTGAACTCCTTAGGTGATCATTTTTTTCTCCTAAAGCATAACTAGATTTGGGAAAAAAGGTCAAGCTGATAAAGAATGGCTAAGCTACAGTTCCCCCTGCTCTCTTCAAACTTTTGCAGTCATGAGCTATGATTGAACTTTGCATTATTTTCTTTGTTTCAGTAGAATTCTAGAACTCTGGACGTGTGATTTAAACACTTACAACTGGGCAAAATACAATCCCATTTACTATCTTCTGTTGACTGAGTCCATATGCCTTGCCATCTAAGAAGGACATTTGTCTATTAATTCAGACAAACATTGGCCATGATGTTTGGTAGTTGAATGGTATTCTACAGCCACATTCATAGGGAGATGCATTTGGTAACTTAATTGAAGCTTCATGAGATTTAGTGATGCATCTATTATACATGTGGAAGCCACCTTCATATATAAAGTCTCTTTTTCAAGCAAGGATGTTCGCATATAAAAATGTCCAATTGCATATTGAAGCTCATGAAAAATACAGTACTTGACCCAAAGCTTTATTTTTGCACAAATAAGCAAATAGCATTAAGCTAATTATTACACATGCATAACATTAACAATCATTGGGAAATATAAGCTTATTAGTGGACAGTTGTCATGGGGAACATATTGCATCTTGTGTCTCACTGAGATCAGCCATTCAATAGTACTATTCCAACAATGCATTCAAGCCTAAATATTTAATTGTTTTTTAGTAATGCAAAACAGATATTTGTATTTCCTCTGATGAACTAACTACTGGTTCTTTCTGGAAATCTCTTGGTACTCAGTTTTCAAATAATTGATCTGGCCAAATATTGATTTGCAAGTGCAGAGTTCAAAATAAAAATTGCTTACTTTCACAATACTCTTCATGAACCCACAGATTTTGGCTGACCTTGGTAAATTTGCATTTCTAATCTCTCTCAGCCAGAAGCTTTGAACTTCACAAAAGTTTGCAGAGGCTGGGGGCGACGGGTATCTTAAAAAGTTGTGTTTCTAGAACAACAAATAGTCATTATTACACACTAGGCCTCCTGTCAAATTTCTAAGATACACAAGAATAGAATTCTCTCCTCCAGGTATTCATAGAGCACACAGACACATATAATGTCTTGCCTTTAAGGCACCAAGAATACCTGGAAATGGAAATTTCCTAACATGTTTTCTACCTGCATTAAGAAGGGCGATCAACCTTTCCATTTTGGTGTCCACAGTCTCAGCTTCATGTGATACTTAGTTCATGAACTGTCATTGATTCTTAGCCTGTATATTTTTCAAAAGTGGCTAAAAGTGACCAGGATGTACTTATTGGAGATAACCGTGCTGGTATATGAGCTACAATTTTAAAAGTGTTGCTTTATAAATGTAGGTTGTTTACAGCTAAAATTATATGGAGATTATATTGTATTCGGGTCTTTTCCCATGTAAGATTGAGATTGTCTTGGCAACGTTTCGGCTAGGTCTCACTCGCCATCTTCAGGCTGGGTTTTAGGCTTAAAGTGTGGTCGGAGCTGCCGTCTTTTTATAAATCTTGGTGGAGGGTGTGGAGTGCTAGTGTTGTTTCAGTAAGTGGAATGATTGGTTATGTGATTGTATCATGATTGGTAGATTGGTGCTGATGACAACACTCTCTCAATTCTCCTGTTTGTTTGTCCTATGTATGTTGCAGGACAGATTTTGCATTCAAGCCTAAATATTTATGAAATACATCTACAATATTGCATGGTATATTTACGAAATACCATGCAATATCTGCCCTGCAACATACATAGGACAAACAAACAGGAGAATTGAGAGAGTGTTGTCATCAGCACCAATCTACCAATCATGATACAATCACATAACCAATCATTCCACTTCCTGAAACAACACTAGCACACCACACCCTCCACCAAGATTTATAGAAAGACGGCAGCTCCGACCAGACTTTAAGCCCAAAACCCAGCCTGAAGATGGCGAGTGAGACCTTGCCGAAACGTTGTCAAGACAATCTCAATCTTACATGGGAAAAGACCCAAATACAACAAGACCAGCATACCTACACCCATGAAAATCTACGAATGTAACATTTTTTTGCTGATAAATAAATGAAGGGAAACTAGTAAAGATCTATTTTGCTCTCATCAGCTAGCCATACCCTTACTGGGGTTTGAACTTGGGCTATTTTACGTTAGGCAGTTATATTAACCTCTAAGCCACAAGCTCTCCCTTATCAGCTGAGCTAGGGGAATGATTAGGTGTTTTGTCAAAGCACCTGGTATGCCCAAATATGAGAG